AAGTTTTCAATATAAAAACTTACAGTTTTTTAGATGATCTGTTTCACATATCTAAGAGGCATTTGTTCCATCTGAGAGAAAATAGGAAGTGCTCACAATGACACTTGCTGTCTGTATCTTCCATAAGCACTTTTTAAAATACATAAAACTTTAAGTTTTAAAACAGCACTCCCAATTAATCAGACACACCTTTTCACTAAATCAAGAGTTTGAACTGAACAAGCACAGAATATAGAAGTTCTAGTTGTAATGTGAAGATTCCTAATATGTCATTGTGGGTTTGGATTCTGCAAAAGGTACAGGAATATAATAGCATCAGGAACATTCCTCACAGTCATGCATTTCCCCAGTACATTTTTAATCAACAAACACTCCTACAGTTAGATTCGTACATGAACACATAGACTACTTTTTGTGAATGCAAATCATTGTCACTGCTTAAAGCTGTTGTTTGTGTGTTCCTAACCATTTCTTATTGCTGTGTATTTTAATGCATGATATGCAAACAGTATGCAATTTTCTGGAGACTTGTGCACATGTAATTGTATATATAACTAAATGAATGTTTCTATTGGCTTAAAACAGCTCCACAGTGATCTTGCTCCTTAACAATCAGGCCCACATAGCATGCTTCCATAAGGTCTTTAAATGAATTAATATTCTGTGTCAATTTCTCCTTGGTGGAAGGTGCATTTCTTACTGTAGCTAAAACGGAGTGTTTATTCAATTTCTCAGAACAAATTACAGATAAGAAATCAAGAGCACATATTTACAAAATTTTTCAAAATGTGGCATCAGGTCATTCCAAGGTAATACTCACAGATATTGTGCAGAAGTCATCACAAATTTAAAGGATGGTTTTGCCTTGTCATACCTGTTTAATTATCTGACTTGATCTGTCCTTTGGCAAAAGCTGAAGTATATCCCAAGCTAATGCTGCATGAGCAGAATAAAAACAAGGATGTAAAACTCCAGGCACCCAGTCAAAATTGGTGCCTAAAACATCAGTCCTGGAGCCTGACATGGAAGAGGGGGCAGGAAGGAGATTACTCCTTCCATGGTTGATGCTTCATGCAGGATTGCCATACGTGACTCACTGGAGAATATATAATTGTATGCCTTTATCTATTGTTGGCACATCCAAATTCTAATTTACTGCACAGTCCAAATCCACTTAAGGTACAAAGGAGATAATGGGCTTTGTGTGAAATAGCAATGCCCTGCCCTCTTCAAAGTAAGTAAGTAAGTAAGTAAGTAAGTAAGTAAGTAAGTAAGTAAGTAAGTAAGTAAGTAAGTAAGTAAGTAAACAAACAAACAAACAAATAAATAAATAAATAAATAAATAAATAAATAAATAAATAAATAAATAAATAAATAAATAAATAAATAAATAAATCCTGCACCTACAATCCAAAATCCCTTTGATATTGAAGAGGGTTCTCATAGTAATCAATTGTATGCAGTGAGACCACATACTTTTCAAATCTAGTACCAAATTAGAGTGTTGCTTAGTGGAGTGGAACTGAGCCTTTTCCATTAACTGAAATATCATCAGAATACTGAACAAAGCCAAAAGCCTCACAGTGCTATTCACAGTTCTTGAGGATAGCAGACCACATCCTTAGATTTGTCACCAGATTTTCCTTGAATTGAAATGTAAAGTGAATGAAGAGATTCTTTATCAGGTAAAATATCCAGGAAATGCTAAAGAAATCACACTGAGCAATTATAGCACTAGCAGCATCTCTCGGGGGACATTTCATACAGCTGTGTACTTCGAAAATAAATTGCCAATGCAAAACCAACCTCTAAAATTATTTTTGTTTGACTCCTGGTGGCTACCATCAGGAACAGGATTCTAAAGGCTGTTGTTGTCCTTTCTTTGCAGATTCAAGACCTTTACCAGATGTAGCCCTGACTGGGAAGTGCACTCGGGAATGTGATGAATACGGCCATTCGGACTCCTGCTGGATGCCTGTGCGCACTTCGCCTGAAAGGAAGCAGAAGAGCCAGCCAAAACTCTCCACTTTCATGCCTGTTGATGAACGGGGCAGTCAAGAGAAGCTGGCCAATGGAGAAGCCTCCGTGATGGGTGACCGCAACAGAAACCTCCTTAACAAAAAGTTGACCTCATCCTATGAGACCTTCAGTGCAGCCAGTTTCAGCAAAAGTGAGGAAGCCCGCCCAGAGGATATTCCCCTCACACAGAAAGGGGAATACAAGCCATCTCCCGTCAATACTTTAACTAGAAGAGAAGTTTACCTTTAGGCTACGAAGAAATAATAATACAGTTCTCTCACAAATTAGAAGGGGATAAAAGGCAAAAACCTATCAATCAAAATGATTTCAACTCAAAAAGAAAAGAAAGTCTATCAAGAAAGGGGGCTACCAAAGAGACAAAAGCTTGGCCTGCCACTTCTGCCTCCATGCCAGGCATTTACATACCCTGTCTGCCTGACTATACTGTACAATGTAGAAACCATTGTTGTTCCTGCATGCCTAATTCCCTGCTCACCAATCTTAATTTCCCTAAATTTCAGTTGTAAATTCCTTTCAAGGTAACAAGTCTGAAATTGAAAAGAAACTCAGAAACTGTTGTTACCTTCCACACACTGCTGAAGCATAGTTTAAGCCACTCTGGTTCTCATTTGGTGGTCATTTGACTTGTTTGCAGTGACAAGTCAGAGGGAAAATAAAATTCTTATATATGTATGTAGGCATATATATATATCTATATCTGTATCTCCGTACTCCCAGGATCCCATCCGATTATTGCTGGTTTCCATTCAGAGATAAACCTTCAGAAACCATACTAAAATAAATATATAAATGAACACTTTTTAAAAAAGAGCACTTTCTGAAGATCACAGCTTTAATACTGTCCCGTGGCTGGAAAGAACAGAAAATATATTCACTCTGAGATTATAGGCTAAAATATGACAAATCCCCTATAATCATGAACCGTTGATTCTATTTTATCCATAGGATAACAACTAACTCTGCCTCTGCCTTTGTCCTTCTGCTATTCCTTCCTCCCCCTCTCCGTCTCTCTCTCTCTCTCTCTCTCTCTCTTTCCCTCCCTCTCAGTCTCTTTCTCTGCTAATCACTCTCTTTTGCCTCTCCTTTCTTTCACCAACATTTTTAATTTCAACATAAACAACATGATGATGGCATGTATCGTGACATACTAAGAATAAACTGTTAAACTAGTGTCGTTTTCTGTGAGACCAAGTTTTAATCTGGATGACCATAGTAACTAAAAGGCCAAAGAACATACTACTGTGGATCAGGGGAATTGCTCATTGGTCTTGGCTTAGAAACAGATACGCACAGATACATAAGCATATCTGCCACATGCATTTGCATAGCAGTCTATGCTGCAAGCCCAGATGACGTAATTGTTTCCCAAATGGATTTTAGTTGAACGCCCGAAGGAATGGATGATATGGGCTTGCTTGTAACAGCATGACATGTTATAAGCTGTGGGAACGTGATCCTCGAGTTCCAGAGTATCTTTTCCTTAGGAGATTTCAGATCCATCCAGAAGGCTGTGTTGATGAGCTCCAAGAAATATTGAGGGGAAATCTGAAAGAAGAATGAAGTAAAGGCAGTGGAAAGAACATGCTTCAAGTCAAGTATGACACCATCTTTGTTAAGAGTGGATGCTAACCCTTGGGTTATCAGTGTTCCAGGTTAATCATTTGCTCTTGGCAAAGGTATTATGCAGGTTTTCTTAAAACGTAAGTGCATTTAAGCTGAGTCCTGTGCAATACAAAGCCAATGTTGAGACTCAAGGTGACTGGTTGTCTTGACTGATGTCGCCACCAACATGCTCTGTGCAAAATAGTTTTGTCTGTGACAAGTTACAAAGAATCCAGACCTGATCATGATGGTGCAGAGTTCTGAGCCTGTGACAGTTCTCATAGTTTGCACTATATAAAGAGGATAGATACCTGTAAATGGACCAGATATATTTTGTGCAATAAGAAGTTACAGAGCATGTAGAATCTGAGGTAGTTCTGTGTTGATAATGACATAGTAATAAAGAATGGCTGAACTTGGACATTCACATGAAACTGACAATCGGTCAATTCAGTGGGGACAGCTTGAGAAGGGGTGCCAAGAGAAACCAGCCCCTCTAGTTGTTTAACTTGGCATTAAAGCATGACTAGATGGTTCTAGTAGACTGTAGTGATAAGATAGCTTGGGTAGTTTCTTGCTTTAAAAATGACATAGATTATATTATTAAACAGACTGAAAAATAGGCTGACTGATCGGTACAAACTCATCACAGCTTTTGTCTTTTGAATTCTCAGTAGCAAAGTGCCCTTTTGTGCATCTTCCTTGCAGTTCTGTTTTACTTTGCAGTTAGTTTCAGTGTAATAGTAAGAAATTGGGCATCTATGAATTAGGAAGAGACAAAAAAGTTAAAGAAAATGTCAAGAGTGATTGATCATTCTAATGTATCATTCTTTTCAATTTCAGAGATGCAAATTTTGGTGTTAATAGAGAACTGACTAAATCAGTTACTGTGTTTGTACAACTAAGTGTCTGTTAAAGATGCAATGCTTCTCAAAGAGTTTACATTAAATATGGCACATTTCTTGAAAGTTTCAACAGAAAATATAACTGCATTGCTGCAGTGTCAGAAAAGCTATTTTTTTTAAAATCCTAATGTATTAAATATACACCCGAGAGCCACTAAGTGAGAGAGATCTAAACAAAATATTTCTCTTTCTAACCTCTTTTCTAGAAAGCCAATACAGGTCAGAAAAGACCTTCAGGATTAACAGGATTAGCAAATATTCCCCATTTTGTGTGTTACATAACAGCAAATCATGTGACAGAGAAATTTACTTAATTTATTCATAGATCTAAAATGGGCACAAAAGGATAACAAAAAAGAAAAAGAAAAAGAAAGAAAGAAACACCGTGTACATGTATGTATTTGAGGTAATTCTAGTAAAATCTAGCCATCAAAACATAGTCAGTTGCTTCTTATGACCCAGCATGAGACACAAATATATTTTTGTGTGTTTTTTATTTAAAATTAGTTAAACCTGGTGACACTCATTATATAGAGTGCTTTTATAAAAAAAATGAAAATGAAAATGAAAAATTTTAGCGTGAATGCAAAATATGCAACTGTGCCTTTTATACCTGTTGTTATGGTAAAAATGGTGGTTGGGGTTGGACACTAAAAATTAATGGGCTATTCCCACTTTTTGAACCTGTATGTTTAACCTTGTTTATTTTCTGAGAAATGAAAAATGATATATTAAAAAATGCCTTCTACCAAACTCAGATAATGGACCAGTCTTAAATATCATTCATTATTTAAACAAATGCAATGGAGAAAAACTATGTGGTTTTGAGGTGGGACTTTTGTTATCAGAGAGAAAGCTACAGCATAGTTCTTTTAAGGAGAAATGGATCCATTTAGAAGAGAAATTGATACTTCACTGTTATTTTTTAAAATGCTTTTAGAAGCTATTTTACTTTCATTTTACACACCTGACTCCTATTTTGTTTGTTTACTTTTTAATTTCAGACGGAAATCAAAGGAACTGTGCATGCATTTTACATTGGACACATTTATAGATTGATGCATCACTTATGTAACTTTATATGAATTAGAAAATGTCCGTATTAACTTCAGTTTAAAGTCTAATGCTCATTCCAACCTCCAGATATGCTAATATTTAGTCAATATAATTTCTGACTGGCCTGCTGCCTGAGTTTTAGAAAACAAGGCAGGTATTATTTTTCTGTGGGGAAAGAACTCAACTGAGAGATTGAAGGTGCTTGACTGAAAGACTACCCTGGGAAGTTGTCACATAGGAAAACAAAGATGTAGCAAAACGGAGAGAGAAAGATTGAGAGAAGGGCAAAATGAAACTACCGTAAATACAGCCATCACTAAAAGACATTTATGGCATTTGAAGAGTGGAAGAATGGGACAGTTTTGCTTATGTTCCATCAGTGATAATGATCCATTGTTTCCTTAAATGCTGAAAAGGAGGAGATGGACAATGGTAGGGCTGAAACCAGTCCCAACATTTAAGTTGGGCAGTTGCCTGAAGAGCATAATACTTGGAAGAAGGCATCATTTTCCAGCTACCTGGGGTACACTTTCAGACATTTCTTTTCCTGAATTGTGAAGCACTTACATTCAGTGTGGTTACGATCTGTTTGTAATATTAATCATTGACTATTGTTCTGCAACTTGGATGTTGATAGTGAAGCAGAGAACAACTTATCATTGTTTATTATGAGTCACTATGCACGCAACTATGCTAAAAATGGCAAAAATGTATTCAACGCTAGTCCACCTCTATTTATGAAAGATTTTGCATAATTTAATTTGCTTTTGTACAGTTTTATGTAAATAAATTGCTTGTCATTTTTGTCTCTGCAAATTAAACTATAACATGTTCAAATGATCATCCCATCTGTGTGCTTTCTGCAAGCAACATAGAAGAAAATGCAAGAGGTTTACATGTAAGATGTACTTCAAATATAGAAAATGTGATTTTGTGTATTGACTGTTTTCCCAAACCCTTCCTTTTACTGCTTGTGAGACACACAAATTTTTATTGGATTTTATTATATCTTATCCATATGGTGAGCAGCTGCACACACGCAACATTGTACTTTCATCCCATGAAATTTATCATAAATATTTTTTTACCTTTCCATTTCTCCTGCAAAATGTACTCATATAGAAATTGTTCATCTATTTCCACAGACTTTTGAGCCTAGAGCAACCTGCTTAAAAACAAAGGTTATCATCCTGTTTCCATTTAATTGAGATTGTTGTTCTATAGAATAAAGTAAGCAAAATGTCACCAGTTAGTTTGTAAACTGGCAGTCAAAGGAGGAAGAGTCAGTATTAGTTGCACAAATGATTTGGCCTTCTCTCCTGGCATTTGGCAATGTAATTATATTGCCTTTCCCCTGCCTATACAAACTAACCTACCTCTATTCTTACCATTTCTGAAACCTAAATAGGATGAAAATCATGTTCCCCAACCTTCTCCATCCATATTTTGTGTAAAAGAGGGACAGCTTCACTCTTTTCCTCACATGTAATAAGTCCTAGGTAAATTTTGATATTTAATAAAAGTGGCCTTGACATTCTTGCTGTCCCTATTTTTTTAAAAAAAAAAAAATACTAAGAACTTACTAAGGTGTCAAGGATTAGAGGTCTGCATGTTATACCTAAGTAGCCTTGATTTAACAACAGTCCTAAGAAAGGAACTGCCCCACTCCTTCTATCCAACTTGTCTTAGGCAGGGCCCCCCCAGCCCTCACAGGCTGTCCCAAAAGGTTAAGAAAGCCAGAGATCTATGGCAATAACTTCAATGGTAGAAAGTAATAAAGCATTTATGTACTAGATTTAGGGCACAGCTACATAGGAGGAAATATGTGAATGGATCCACTGTAAAGTTACACCTGAGAAATTGGGTTTCCCTGGGTTAATTCACTTTATTTTTTTTAATTTTTAAAGATTTTTTTTATTAATACAAAATGAACCTACTACTACACAAAAAAACCTATATAAAATACAATACAATACAATACAATACAATTACCCATGTGCACCCGTCACCTTCAGGACTAGCATAACACTTCGTTCCATTCATTTTCACTCCAAAATTTCATTGTTTCTTCCCTCGGTGTAAACTCCCCCCTCTCCGAAATACATGTTCCAGAAATACATTCCATATTTTCTTAAAATCATTGTTTTTCATTTGGCCTCTACTTATTTTCATATCACATGTCAGTTTATCATTAATTGCCATTTCCCATAATTCTCTATACCATTCCTCCAAGTTAAATTGATTATCATTTCTCCAATTCCTTGCAAATATTATCCTTGCTGCCGTAATCATTATTACTATTAAATCCTTATTTTCTTTCACTAATTGATCTTCCTTAATCAGATTCAGTAATGCTATTACTGGAGACACTTGAATATTCAGATATTTCTTTAAATATTAAATTCCATTCTTTCTTTCTTTTTTCGCATAACCACCAAATATGTAAATACGTCCTCTTCTCTTTTTTACAGCTCCAACATAATGTTGACACATTTTTATCCATTATATTCGTTTTGACCAGCATTAAGTACCACCTCCATATTACTTTATATTCAGATATTTCTTTAAATATTAAATTCCATTCTTTCTTTCTTTTTTCGCATAACCACCAAATATGTAAATACATCCTCTTCTCTTTTTTACAGCTCCAACATAATGTTGACACATTTTTATCCATTATATTCGTTTTGACCAGCATTAAGTACCACCTCCATATTACTTTATATCAGTTTTCTTTTATCCTTACTGACATGTTCTTCATAATTCTCTGATCCCATATTTTATCCCATTCTTCTATTGCTACTTTATCCAAATCATTTTGCCATTGCATTTTTAATCCTATATTACCCTGTTCAACTTGAATTAATAATTTATATATATGGCTAACAATTCCTTTTCTTTCTGTCTTTTCCTCTGATTTCAATCTTTTTTCTATAATCTCTTCAAATTTTGTCATTTTTCTACCTTTCCCTTCTTTAGTATACCATTCTCTTGTCCACCTTTCTAATTGGATTAAATTTAACCATGAAATCTCTTCTCCTCCTATTAACTTTTTATATCCTCTTTTCCTCTTATCTTCTCTATTCAGTCTTTTAATCTACTTATCTCTTTACTTTTTAATG